TAGTAAGATATATATAAAATACTAAGAACAGAATGTTATTATGTAGTATAAGATTATATAATATTTCAATATGCATGTATATGTAAAATATTCAATTTAATTATTTATGAGGTAGGCATTTTAAAACTATTCTTAAACTTCATAGATGACTGCTTCATGTAACTTTGTTAGTTATAAACTATGTGATATATAGCATTTATACTATTTTAAAAAAAACAATAAGAAGATAAATATATTATGTGATATTATTTATCACATAATATAGATAACATTGTTATTATATAAAAGTATCAGTAAGAATTAAGCCATACCTCAAAGTAGGATAAGTATATAGAGTGCCCATAATTATATGATTTGATTTAAGTCAATTATGTAATAAATATGATATAAATTTTATCTATTCTAGTAATTTTCTTTCAAATCTAGTTAAAAAATTTATTTTCTTGCTTGTATTTTATGTTTATTTATAATCTAAACCAAACTCTTATAGAATTAAAAATACAACTACTGAGCAGGAAGATTAGTAGTATGTAAGTGTTAACATGGTACTAGTATGACTACTTAACAATGTCTCACTGCCTAAGAACAATGTAATTAGCTTGCTTATGCATGTTATAAACATGAATATTGCCAAGAGAGTTATAACTTAAAGGTCTTAATCCTTGAAACTTTAAATTAAATATGCATAACTTTATTTATGTTTACAATTTCTTTTTCTGATTTGCGTGATAATGTTGCGCAGCTATCTAGTTAAATAAAAACATAAATCATCAAATAAGAGGCAATCTTTAACAATTAAAATAATCAAATAGGTTTACAATTTTAGATTCTGAGTTCTATAATGCGAATATAATATTATCAAGTTTGATTTTAAATTTATTTAGGATAAACCAAACTGTTTTTTTCAAAAAATTTACCAATTTGGTTGGCTAAGTTAACTAATTTCTAATTGACAAAGTCAGTAATTAGTCTAATTCGATAAAATAAATCAATAAGCATTGAATTCTAGATTTAAATTAAACATCTATTAAATTGAAATTTGGTTTTGAGAGGCTTCAAACTAGTTTATTATTAATACATTAAACTGAAATATGTACAATAAAATGATTTATTATGCATTTCATATATCGAATTAGTCATTATTAGTTGGTATCGCTCAAATAAATTAAAAATTTGGCTACTTTTAATCTTAAGCACCTTAAACTCAATTTCTATTTGATGTTACATTAAACATTGACATCTATTTCAATAATATTTGATAAAATTTGTTAAAATATATTATAATTTTTTATGACAATTAATGTTTTATTTTATAAATCCTTAACAGATTTAAGATTTACTACTAAATTAATAATAATAGTTTTAAATTTTTTAGGTTCAATTTATTCATTTATACTTGAAATTTTAAAAATAATAACATTATCAATATGAAATTATAATAAATAGTTATATAATGAAATAAAATACACTTTTTATTTTATAATATAATTGTATAATATTTTGATGTTCATTTATCAAGAACTAATTATTTATATAAAATAAATAAAATTTAATTAGAATTATATATACTTAATGTTAAATGTTCAACATATTTCAATTTTTGTTAATATTATTTTGTATGTGTGCAACTTTTTCATTTAGTAACTGTTCAGATAATGTTATACATGATAGCAATACATATGCGGAATTAAGATTTTTTAAAAAAAATTTATATATAAATTTTTAATTACTTTGAATAATATATTTACTATTACTCAAATTTTTAAAAAATTTTTAGTATAATTAATATTGATTTATAATGGTAAAACTATTTGTAATAAAAATTTTCTTTTATAATTATTATTGTTTTTTACAAGTTTATTAAACCAACATCTTAGAAACATTCTAACAATGAAATACAAAATAAGACATTAGGATATAAGGTTTACTCCTCTGCCAGCACTTGCCACAATGAAATATTGTTTTGGATTTACCATAGTCTCATACTTCATCAAAGATGAGACTACCTCTTCTAACTTTTTTTATCTGATAAGGCACAATTAGTTTTTGTTTCTGATGATGTGGATTCTAGTAACGTAGAAATACCAGAATTAGGCTCAATGAAAGACATATTTCACAACATTTTAATATTAGTTTACAACTTTCATTCAATTTTATTTGGTTTTTTTAATTAAAAAAAAGGTAATTTCAGATAAACTTTTTTGGACTCAAAACCAACATTGCGTCTATTACATTCCTGCGTCACGTCTAAAATACCAGAGTTATGTCCAAAATCTTAGTTACGGCAAATGTCAGTTATTACGACATACGTCTGCCGCGGCACTTTGACGTAACCGCATGCACCCAAGTTTCTACACCTATACTCTCTACCTCTCTCTACCTGATGACCGAATCTCGTTTTTATCTCGTAATGCATTCGAAGAATTGCTTTCCAAATGTTTTAGCAAAAAGTCGACGAATAGGTGACATAAAGCCTTGAAAACCTTGATTTTGCATTAAGGTTTTACAAGATCAAGCAAACAATAGTTGTGGATGCGAAATATCGAACTTATTAAATTTGACTCAAACTTACTTGTATTCGTAAGTTGGATAATATTTTTTCGATGTTTATAAGCGTTCTAGATACGCTTCTCAAGTAGGCAATATTAAATGCAAAAATGCGTGTGATAAAAATCATTGTAAATGGGGTTTCAACATTAAACTTATTACGAAATAAGTGGGAGTTTAAAAGATTCTAATTCTATTTTTAAAATTCCGACCCAAGGAACTAAATAGACACGCACGTTAATAAAATTAGTTTTTTTTGATAAATATCTGCCGGTAAACGATGATGTAAATATGCTTATATGTGTAAAAAAAATAAGATTTATGGATCAAATGTTATGACGCAAATATGTCTTTTATTTTATCTGAAATCAGATAAATGTGTAATGCTTTTACTGGTAAATTTAATTAATTCGCAATGCGCAATGTTATAAATAAAATCCATCTTAAAGTGACTTAAATTCCAAAACAACGTACTCGATGGAATACACTTAATTTTATTGTAAGTTCAATTGGAATTCTTTAACAACTCAGGCTTATCTTAGAATTCTATTACAACCTATGTTTTATTCAGAATCAACCTAGGTGCTTTCTTTCTAAATCTACAATAATCTCATTCCGACATATATACATCAAGAGATATAATTTGCTAACTACGTATATGTATATTTATGGATTAAAGACCTAAATTTTTCCTTATATTTACATTGTATGAATCCTGATCCGATGGATCATATCTACGGAGCAAAACTGGTCGTCAGCAAACCGATGGTTCTAGAGGAAATTTTGTTGATATGAATTTTTTATATAATATTAATTTTCTTTGTAATTATATATATTTTAGCAAATATAATTCGATATTAGTAAAATATTAAACAATCCAAAAGTGCGATATTTTTTTGTAAATTTGTAATAACTAATAAAATATAAATGAAAAAGTAGGGGAGTAAATACTAAACTGAAGCAGAGTCTAAGCCAATATCCAAATAAAGCTGATCCATCCTTAATTTAAGCACATAAATAGAGTGTACGGATATCGATGTGTTAAATACGTAACTGACTTAAACGTTAATCTGTTGATTCTTACTATTCTTATTGCAGTGGATTAAAGAGTAAAAAGTAAGTTTAGCAAAAAGTATAATAGAAGTATAGATTATAAGCGGTGCAATGATAAATACATTGCTAGTTATTTATTTATTAATTTATTGAGTCTTCAAAGAGATTAGTTTTTAACAAATTCGTTTTATAACGAATAACAATCTCCAAAACAATCTGTTAGATATACAGTAGAAAGAAGTAATGGTTAAATACCAAAATTTTATTAGTAAATCTTCGCCTTTTATTTTAGCTTGGCATATTTTTATAAGTTAACCTCCCATTTTTACCAGCCCAGTTTCACTGTTTATTCTTTAAAACTTTTTCGACAAAAGTCAAAATTAGGCTTCAATCTCCGCCAATGAAAATCGGTTCTAGATTCAATATCGATACCATTGCAGAAAGACTATTATTTTTTGTAAAGAGAATTTTACCTAAGTATTATTTATACTTAACCTTCCCTTTTCTGTAAGAAAAAAGTCCATACCCATCTAAATTTAGTTTCCACTTATAACATCAGCATCAACGATCAAAGGCGTTAATGTCATTTTTAATAATAAGTTTATTAGTGAAACTAGTTCTTTCATTCATCTTAGCGCTATTAACTCCGATGACGAAGACGTTTTCGTCATCAGGGTGCGCACGTACTATTTCCATTAACAGAATCCCCGACTCCTGACTTCTTTATCAAATTTAACCAAATTCAGCTATTTTTTGCGTACATCCGTAAACGTTGCTTACGTACTACGTGTAACCAATTCGAGTTTTACCGTACCGGTACGCATAAATATTGGATCAAGGATTATAGAGTAATGTAATCCATCTATCTTCTTTATTTGTTAATAAGGTGGGTGAATCATGATTTTTCAATTCTTTCGAGGAAACAGTGTTGGGATTTGTAACGTTCGTAATAAATGTAATACTTTCGGTATTAACATATTTAAAAATAACAATAATAATTATCATAAATCATATAAATCATTTTCGTATAAACGACGCGATCATTTTTCTATCTATAATAATTTATTTTTAAAAGAGTGAGTGTAAATTTTCATCGGACATATTTGAGTTTGAAAAGATTCAGTCGGAGTTTATCGATTTTCTATCTTCCCGTTTTTTAGCCAGTCATTGGTAGCAAAAAACGGTAGGTAACTTTTTCTCAATTATTTAATAAGATACCGTAAATGTTCGATATAAGAACCATAAAGTCAATATTTTAATTGCATGTTATTCAAACTGGCATATTTTCGAGTATTTATTGCGGACACTGCATATAAAGATATCTAAACATTTTATGCGCCCTTTTCCTGATTTTATAACTAATTGTTCAAAAAGGTTTACTCCGAACAACTCTTCAAAAAATGTCATATAAATTATCAAATTCAATCCCCGATTTTCCTACATTTGGATTGCTTCCTAAGGAGGTATGATTTCAATTTCCTTGTTCTATATATATAATGAGTCTTTTTTTTTCTCTTGATTAAATGATTTTATAAAATAATAAATATAATAAAAGGAAACTGAAGCTGCATCATTCTTGAAAAAACATCCTGAATATGATGGTCGTGGCATTACTATTGCGATATTAGACACTGGAGTTGATCCTGGTGCCGCTGGTTTACAAGTAACAAATATTATCCACCAAATATTATCCATTAGATATTAATAAAATTTTCCAATTAATCTTTAATTAATCTTGATTTTAGACTACTACTGAAGGAAAACCAAAGATTATCGATATCATTGATTGTTCCGGCTCTGGTAAAAAAAAAAAAAAATTTTTTTTATATTTAAATGTTTATAATTATATATGTATATATATATATTCTGATTTCTGTTTTATTTAATAAGGTGATGTAACAACAAAGGTCATTGTAAAACCTGTTATCAAAGAAAATGGAGACGAGACTTTATATACAATTCAAGGCTTAACTGGCCGTACTCTTATAATTGATCCAAGTTGGAATAATCCTTCAGGAGAATTTCGTGTTGGAATTAAGAGATTATATGAGCTATTTCCAAACACACTGGTTAAAAGGCTTCAACAGGTTATTAAGTTCAGGTGTAATTTTTCAGTTTATTTAAATATTTTTTAAAACTAAAAATTATTACGGTATATGCATATATATATGTGTGTGTGTTTTTTTTTTAGGAGCGTAAAGAAAACTTTGTAAAGGAACATTATCGTCTTCAAGCCGAGGCACAACAAAATCTCTCTACTTGGGAAGAATCCCATTCTGCTTCTTCGAATCCGTCAGAAAGTGATCTTGCAACCAAAGCGGATCTTGAAGCGAGACTAGAAGTGCTAAAAGATTTGTTAAAAAATTATGATGACCCCGGTATAATTTTAGATGTAGTTGTATTCTTCGATGGAAGTGATTGGAGAGTTGTTATTGATGTTGATGAAAGTTGTGACTTAAGAGGTGGCTTTCAATCATATTAAATTTTAGTTGTTATTAAATTTCAGTCAGTTTTTTTCTTTTTATGTCGTTATATTACCAACATTATTTTACTTTAACTATTGGGATTATAGGCGCTCCACTTTTGACTGATTATAAAAAGGAACGACAATATCACACTTTCAGCAAAGAAGATAAGATGAATTTTTCTGTTAACATTTATGATGAAGGCAACACTGTCAGGTGTATATTATATTGCTTATGTGTTTTTTATTACATTTATACATTAATATATAATGCTAACATGTTTACTATTATAAAGTATCGTTACTATGTCTCATACTCACGGAACTCATGTTGCTGCTATTTCTGCAGCATATCATCCAGATGAGCCTATTCTTAACGGGGTATTCAATGTTTAGAAATCAAATATAAATTATTGTTAATTAATCATATGCTTTAAAAGAAAAACCATATATATATTTTTTTATTTATTGATGTAATCATTCTAGGTTGCTCCAGGTGCTCAAGTATGTATTTTTTATTATACTTGTATTTATAATAAAACATGTTAAACCATTAATAATTGTTATCACGCAAATTTTATCTTTTCTATATAGATTATTTCAATTAAAATTGGCGACACTCGAATAGATGGTATGGAAACTGGTGCTGCATTAGCAAGAGCTGCCATATCACTCGTAGAAACGAAATGTGATCTTGCTAATATGAGTTTCGGTGAAGCAACATCTGTACCAGATCATGGTCATTTCATTAGATTAATTCGTGATGAAGTTATTGGAAAATATGGTTGCATATTCATAAGTAGTGCTGGAAATAATGGTCCTGCTTTGAGCACAGTTAGTGCACCTGGTGGTACTTCTAGTGGTATGTGAAATTTCCTCCTGCTTATTATATTTCTATGTTTCTTATTAAGACGCGTAACTGTTTTTTCCTTAGACATTATTGGGGTTGGTGCTTATGTTAGTCATTCAATGATTCAAGCTGAATATGCGCTTCTCGAATCAGTTCCTGAACGTTCGTACACATGGTCTTCTCAAGGCCCTGCTCCTGATGGTGATATTGGCGTTGAAATTTATGCACCTGGAGGGTAGGTTATTTCTATACATTAGATTAAACCATTTATTTCGATTCATTGTCTGGAGCAAAGCGACAGTCTCAAATAATATATATCTTATTCGAACAGTGCTATCACATCTACTCCACAATACTCCTTAACAAAGGCTCAATTGATGAATGGAACCTCCATGTATTTATAAAATTTTATTACGGCTTATATTTCTTTATATAGTCTTTATTAATAATCAAAACATTATAAAAGGTCTTCACCTAATGCAACTGGATGTGTAGCATTACTTTTATCAGGTCTTAAGGCTGTTAATAGAAAATATTCTCCTTATATGATTAAAAATGCTCTTGTTAATAGTTCAAAACAAATAAATGAAAATTTTGGTGTTGGACTTTTGCAAGTTGAAAAGGCATGGGAATATCTTGAAAAATTTTACGAAATTCCCGATAAAGACGTTATTTATGAGGTGTGGTAAACATATTACATAAATCTAATAATATATGCGAAATATCATTCCTAGTTTGCATGATTTATGATTATTAAAAATGTTATTTAAATTTAGGTCAAGATTTCAGATACACCGAGGAATAAGCGTGGTATATACTTGAGAGAATCACACGAGACTTCAAGTCCGCAAACTATTAATGTTTTTATTAGACCTAAATTTATGAAAGAGCTTGATCCAACTTCTGGAGAAAATAATCAAAAGAAATTTGAACTCGAAAGTAGATTGGCTTTGATTAGCACACAAACATGGGTTAGAACAACTGATTTCTTGTTTTTAGGTAGTGGTGGTATGTAGCAATCTTTATCTTTAATATTTTTTCTTGTTCATCTAATACCAAATAATACCAAATAATGCCAAATATGATTTTTGTTTTATAGGTAGATCATTTGATGTAAAAGTTGATCCAACTAATTTATCACCTGGTGGATTTTATTTTGCTGAAGTTCAAGTAAATTTCTTTATTACAATTTTGTATTAATCTAAAGAATTATTAACAATATATGGTCTTTTATGTTAGGGTTATGATACAACTTGTCCAGAACGAGGTCCCTTATTTCGAGTACCAATTACAATTACAAAACCAAGTATTTTAACTAACGGATCTAAAGTTTGCTTTAACAAATTAACTTTTGGTCCTGGTCAAATTGAAAGAAAATTTATCAAAGTTCCTGAAGGTGCTACATACGCAGGTATGTATATATATATTTTTTGTAATAAAACTTTTTTTTTTTTTTTAATTACCAACATTTCCCCATATTTAATATTTTTAAAAGATGTAACGCTTAAATTTGCTACAAATCAAACTACTTCACCTGCATTATTCTGGTTACATATGATACAATTATTGCCATTGAGACGGTTCACGCATCTTGAACGTGAATACACATTGTATTTTGCTAAAGGAAGTTATGGTGATGGTAGTGGGGATGAACAAATTGAAAAAAGAAGCTTTTCTGTTTGTGGTGGTCTAACCATGGAGGTTCGTGGTTTATGTGTTTGTTTATTTAACAATTATTAATTTTATTAACTATTGCTAATTTTTATTTACATTTTTATTTTTGAAAAGATTTGCTTGGCACAATTTTGGTCCAGTATTGGAAATCATGATATGTCGTTAGAATTTGTTTTCCATGGTATTCAAATTTCAAACAGTGCCTTAAGTGGAAGTAGAAGTGTTTTTATCAATGGTGGATATCCATATAATCGTCTGGATATTGTCGCACCTATTAAACGAGAAGAAGGAATTTATCCTTCTATCCAGCTTGGTAAAAAATTTTATTCAATTTCAGTGATAAGCAAAAAAAATCCACAACAGTAAAAATATTTACTTCATTTTATAATTTAAAGAAACCATCCGTAAAGAAATTCGACCAACAGAATCAACTTTAAAACCACTTGGTTTAGATCGTGATGTTCTTCCGAATTCTCGAAGAGTACATGCTCTAACTTTAACTTATAAATTCTCTACACCTGAAAAGAATTTGTCTGTTTCACCAAAATTTCCTGCATTCTTTGATCTACTTTATGATTCTTATTTTGAAGATTTCTTTGCGATACGTAGGTTTTTTTTTTTAAATATTAGGACTGTCATTTAATAGATATCAGGAAAATTGATATTCTTTAAAAAAACAATACCTTACTTAACTTTTACAGCTCATATCTTAATAATTTTTGATGCTATTTTAATGAGTATGAGCTGTGAAAGCTAAGGTATTGATTAATTGTCAATCTACCTGATTTCTATTAACAGCAGCCCATTAATATTCTTAAATTTGATGTGAATACTTAATTTATTTACTAAAAAAAATGGTACTTTAAATTCTATTCATTAATGTAGTATATGATGCAAATAAAAAAGTTATTGGCTATCTAGATATTTATGCCAAGACTTTTAAACTAGAATTTAAAGGAGATTATATCATTCGTGCACAAGTTCGTCACCAATCGCAAGAATTATTGGAAAAATTGAATAACACAGTATGCTTTTTGGATTATAATTTAACCAAAAAGATTAATTTGGATGTATACGGTCAAATACATGATGTTTTCACTGCTGAAAAACCTACAGGTGTAAAAAATTATTTGGAAAAAGGAGAAAGGAAAGCAATATATGTCGCATCACCTAATGATTACTCTGTATATCCAAAGGATAGTAAACCAGGCGATTTATTGAGGGGACGTTTGAATTTTGTAAATTCAAAGATTGATGGTGGACAATTTTCAATCACTTTGTTGATTCCACCTGCTCCTACCAAATCCAAAGATTCTTCCAATGGTGGAGGTGATGATGGGAAAGGTCCGGCGTCTATTAGTAATTCAGGACCATCTGGATCTACCGATAAATTAGAAAAAAAAGATGAAAAAATCAATGATGAACTTTCAGAGGCAATTCGTGATTTACAAATTTCTTATTTGAAAAAGTTTCCTGCGGAATCAACAGCAAAAGAAGATTTATTTTCAGAATTGGAAGATCGTTATCCGTCACATTTACCAATTTTTCAAACTAAATTAGATTTACTTCTTGAATCTTCTGGATCTAGTGGTGAAAAAGAAAGTTTATCACCTGAAACAGCGAATAAAATCTTGGTAATTTCCGATGAATTATTAAAAAAGATTGATTTAGTGGAATTAGCACAATATTATGGAGTTAAACAAGATACGAATCTTAATGAAGCCGCAAAAAAGAAGAAAAAAGAGAATGATGATAAAAAGAAAGCTGTTATATTGGCTTTAGGGTCTAAAATCCAAGCTTTAGCTATTCTTGCGCCAACTAGTTCATCAAGTGATAATTTATCCACTCAACTGGAAGAAACTTGGAAACAACTTGCTCAATGGTTAGATGCAGTACCACCTATAACAGACTTTAAGCAGTTACAAATTTATCTTATACGTGAAAAACTAGAAAAACGTTATGGCAATGCTCTTAAGGCACTTGGAAAATGGTTTGGAGAAACTGGATTAGGTAATGATAATATTAAAGATTACGAGAAAGCTTTGAAATTAAAGATTGAATTTTTGAAAGAGATTGAATGGAAAAATTGGGAAAAATATGAAGAAAAATGGAAGACCATTAGAATTCCACCTGGTGGTTATGTGCCTTTTTAAGTAAGGTAGCAAGTAGATCAATGATTTTTATAGTAATGGAATTTTTAAAGAGTTTAGAGTTTAAATATAGATAATTTAAATTTGCCATTTATTTGTTTGGGTCATTCGAAAACTTTGAGTTAAATAAAGAATGATTTATGTTTAATTAATAGTAGATTTATATATCGATATGACCTTTATTTATTTTTTTTTTGTTCAATAGTTTACAAATTGGTCTTGATCGTTTTAATAAATATTGAAAGTAAATGCACGTAAATTAAAATTTCTAGTTATATGTGGCACATGAAAACAAAAGAATTTCATACTTAATTGAGGGTGTGTGTATAATAATTTCACAATTGTTTAATTCTCTTATATGCCTTTTAAGCGTTTATTGCCTCTTTATGTTAAAGAACCATTACTGTCGCGAAATTTCTATAATGATGCTTTGGAAAAGAAAAGTGTCAAGCCACAAACTTATAGTACGTTAAAGTGACTAATAAAACATTGCATGATTTCGTTAATATGTGAATGTCGCATATTCAAGCATTGGACCGTTAAACATTCTGCTGACTGGTGTTGGCAAAGAAAAAACAATTTAGTATACAATCGTCCTTAGAGTTTGGAACCGAATTTAATTTTTTAAATTTAATTAGTAATCTGCATTTCGTGACTAGCTTGTCAATGAAGTGACAAGGCTAGCATTGCGAGATCAGAAGATCTCATATCACGTGCAGGACCAGAAAGTGTATCCTGTTATGACCAGTTTTTAGGTACAAGGCATATGAAAAGGAGGTAATCTATGAGAAGTTTTCATGAGCTTGCATGTGAAGGATGAGTACTTCCATGTGCAGTCTATATGTAGAAGCGGGTAGAGGTTAAGGCAATACCTGTTTTGTGGTAAGTATTTAAAAATTATGAGTGAATGTAAGGAGCATTAGTTTCGGTTGCACTATTGCTCGACGGATATCCTTATGTCCAGAAAATTCCGAGCTGCCGGCCAAAAGAATATGGGTCGTAGTATCTCAAAAATTCACTAT